CGGAAGAGACACTTCGTTTCGAAGCGCGAAGACGGAGCGCGTGGCTCCTATAAGACTTGACGATACCCATTGAAAAATCACATTTTGAAATCACAGCTTTCGTGTTCGGGTCCGGCAGGTGGACGGGAATGTCGAAACAGCCGACCATATTCCTCAGAAATGTTAGAGCATATTACCCTCGTTTGCAATTCCAGCTAGTGGCGAGGTCGAAGACCAGAGAAATATACACAGTTTTCGACAAATGGATTTAAATGACGCACATGATCTATACTCATTTTCGGACTTTGTACCGCGCGGTTCCATGCAATCCCGGATGGTTTTGCAAACCAAGCACACAACCCTCCAGTGGAGCTACAAGGACCCCAACATGCGAGGCATCATTCCGTCATCTCCCTGATCTTTGCTTCGATTGCCGACAACGCGTCCAAATCACTGTTCTCCAATTTTAGTTTCATCGCAGCCTTCTTGTACTTGGTGTCCTCCAAGATGCATTCCACACCCCTCCTAACCTGCTCTGCTGTCGGTGTCTGTGTGCCCAGGCTGAGGCCAACACCTGCATACACAGCCCTCATAGTGACTTCAATCTTCTCCTCGTTCTCTCCAGCAAGTAAAACTGGAACTCCATTACTGACAGCATGAGTCAATGTTCCGTAGCCAGCATTGGAAATGAAGACATCCGTGTACTCTAACATCGCATCGTAGGGAAGGTAGTCAATGATACGAGCGTTGGCTGGTATCTTGACTTCCGCCGGAAGCTGGGCGCCAACAGCTCCCAAGGTGGCTACAACCAAGACGTCGGGGCGGTCGGCAAAGGCATTGACAGCAGGGATAATGAGCTCCGACCAGAGTGGGTTAAGACTTCCTTGAGATACAAAGATAACGTAGCGGTAGTTGTTCTCCTGTCTCTTCTCAACTTCAGACCACCATGAGGGAAATTGGAAGCCCAGCTTCAGCGGCTTGCGAGGAAGCACACCGACAAATTGAAGGCACGGTGGCAAATCGGAAACAGGATACTCAAGGCTCGGCGAGCAGAGCTGAAGGACAGAGTCGTGAGCGGTGTAGAATGACCTCCATATCTTGCCATCGGGGATGTTTTTGCAGCCGCATTGCTTCAGAGTCTCGTGCCAAGCATCGTACAAGAGCTTCATGGGGCCTCTTTCCACGAGATCATACAGTGCCTTGTTCCTTTGGCGTCCCGACTCTGTAGAGTCGGGCCAGAGCCCTAGCGACAACGGTCCGGTGTCTTGACTTTCGGCCAAGATTGGCGAGACGCCAAATCCAATCGATTTGGGCAGTCTCTTGACTCCACCTGGAAGAGGCCGGCCATACTTGAAAGCCGTGAACCCCGAGTTGAAAACATCTTCGAGAACGATGATTTGTCGGTGGGGGTCGCGTGCCTGCAGCACTACCAGAGCTTCTTCAATGGTCTTGGCTCTCGTTGGTTGCATATCCATGAAAATGGCTTTGTATTGCGCTGCAAGTCTTCCAGGGCCCGGCGGGAACTGCGAAGCGTCGCGAAAGTTGAGGAAGACTGATTCGGTAATTGGGTTTTCGGCGAGGATATACTCAGCACCAGTTTCTTCAATCTTGGACTGGTACGCCGATGGAGAGGAGAATGCCACCTCGTACCCGACTTTAACCAAGTAAGATGCAATGGTGAATAGAGGGTTAATGTGACCATCGATGGGAAACGCAGCCATCAAAAGCAAAGGCTTCCTCGAGCCCTTGACGTCGTCGCATGTCTCAGTCACAGTCATTGCGTCAGATTGAATGAGTTGGATGAGCCTGGCGAGGATACAACTGCACCTTGTCGTGAAATACTCGGGAGATGAGGCTCTGATGTCTCAGTATATAACATCTTCTGGGACCGGGCATCCCCCTCCCCGATGGTAAGCACTAACGGAGATGTTGCATTCATCTGGCGCAAGTCCAAGGATAAGATGCAGCCAGATGGGTATTGGTAGGTGGATTATTGCGGGTCACTGCATGATGGTTGCCGTCGATGGCAAAACCACCGGCCGACCGGCTCAGGGTTCGGCATGACCCCTCCGCCATCGCGATCTTGCCTGAAAGTGTTTCTCGTGGCACTATACCCCTCAATTTCGAACACCCGTGACTTGGATGCTACACTAATCCGATGATGACCATGGGCAAGCACTGAGTTGTGGAGAATTGCGAATGAATTCCTTTTGGAAAGATTTACATCTCACGGCTAAAATATTACTAAGGATCGAACATCAAATTACAGAACTAGTGGGAAACGATCACAGATGATACGTACATAGAATCCCACGAGAATACAATGGAAATGTACTACGGTTATCTCAAGTAGCTTCCAGGGTAAAAGCTTTCACCAGCGTCAACTCTTGCCCCTTAAGAGGCTCTCAAGTTGACCGCAGGTATGGTTTTACATAGGCTTATTTGCAATACTTGGACACGTGTTTCAACCCTATATTATTCCTTGTCAAACTCCTTTTCGTAATACTGAAACAGCATCGCGTTAACCCATGGAAACTTGTGTTTGTCTCATGATGGGCACAGACGACGATGACGGCGAGGACGACGATGATGATTACAATGATTCAATGATGACATTAAAGACAAGAACAATATCAATAGTATCAGTGTCACTGAATAAGAAGAAAACGAAGAGGATAAGTATGATAGCATAGGGAAAATCAAACGCCTAGCCCTCCAGACACTTAGCCAGAAGCGACGGGGTCAAGAATCTGAGCAATCACCAGACAACCATTCCCAGCTCTGCAGAGGCAAGCCGATCAAAAGTCTTCATGGTGAACAAACCTGCTTAAGACGTAAACGGAGCGACGATATGGGTGCGGGTCCGTGTTCGATGGTGGCAATGGTTTCTGTTGCCATCAGTCCAAAGCGACCGCAATGTCCGCTGAGTAACAAGGCATTGCTTAGTATCCAGGTGAGGCCAGCCCCCTCTCGTCTGCTCATGAAATTATCCTCATAGGTCCGCTCGACTTTTGGCATTTTTTTCAAAAGGCAAGGACGAGGCTAATTTGTGAAAAAAGTGACCGACACAAGAGATCGCTTTCTCCACATTCATTGGCATCTGAGGGACTCAGCTTGATTCAAGGGTTATGTTCCAGGGTAAGGTTGCGCGTGTCAATGAATAGGTTATTGAGAAGGGATACTGATTCACGCCTCCTGCTTTCTCATACACAGCACAAAATTCAGTTCTGAGGCTCAGCTGAGTTCGACCTTTGTGCGTCATCGCTTTTGACTACCCCTTGAAAACGAACGACAGTTACGAGGCAAAGAGCCCGAGGCAGGTTTTGCATTTGTCGTGCCGACGGCTATCACCCGAGCATGCTCATCTCACCGTCATCAGCTGTCAATCACCATCGCTTCGTGTCTGAAGCCTCGTTCTCTTGCACCGGTACTTCAACCCTAATTTACGTGCAGAGTTTGCCATCTTTCCCGATGCATTGACAAAGGCACTGTGTTTGTGTCGTCTTGGCGTCAAGCTCCGGAATTTTGCTGATGACCGCAAGTTTCGATGTAAGTTGTCCTCTTCCTCCCCCACTTTAAAATGTGAAGAGAGGGCTGTGTAAAAGATCACAGCTGCTGTCAGATCCAGGCTTAATTCAAAGCCGGCAAGGACCGCAGCTTTTGGATCTTGGGTCTTGGGTGGCTCATCAGTTGCGACGATGTCACTAATGCAGGACATGTGGTGTATAACTGAAGTCGCTGTATTCAGGGAGCTATCGAGATCAACTGCTAAATCGGCTACAACGCCTCGGTCAGCACCACCAACGGACCTACATATATTCAAGTTTGGGGTGAGGCGCATCGTTACCACCGCCACGTAGATCGAGAAGCTTGTCAGCGTTTACAAGGACGTTGCCTTCATCAAGCTCAATAGCCCCTTTGCGGGAAACCTCACGAACATCTCATGCCGATATAAGCTTTTCACTACCAACGGGCTTAACATCGAGGTGGTCGCTACCCTGGCGACAAGTATCTCCATCACCCGAACGGTGATGATGGCGAGAAAGGTGCTCAGATGGATGAGGAATGCATCGAGAACAGCGAATGGCACATTGTCGAGCAGTATATTCTTACCTTCGCCAGCAGTTGAACCATCACAGGCCTTTCAAACGAAGACCTTTGCTGACGACGAACGCATAGGTCAATTTCGACCCGTTATTCTCCAAGCCGCCGACACTGGATTTGAATCCGTTGGCATGTACTAACTCCTACGGGCAGCAATGTCAATTGGACCATCTTCCACAGTGATAAAGCCTGCAGTAACGATAATGGTTTTAATGGCAACAGCTCCGATAGCAATGAGACTGGCTACAAAGGCAACAATGCACACAATGGCTTTCGCCTGGAGAGCTTTTCGCCGGACGACGCGCCGATCAGGGACTATAGCAAGGGCTTTCAAAAGAGTCGCAACGAGGAGAGATTCCTTGGTGTTTTCAGGTTCTCAAGTTCGTTGCAGTGAGACTTGAATTGGTCAACTCAACAGTCTCGCCTTTGTCTTGGCGGTATTGAGGGAGCTGTCGGCTCTGTCGCCGGAGAAGCCCTCTCCACAGTGGCCGGCGCCCAGAGTGCTATGGCGAATGGCAACACCTCCAACGCCGTCAAAAATGCCACCAGCTCTGGAGCTATCGAGTGTGCTGTTCAGACTGAAGCATCCCTCCAAGCCATGGTAAAGACAGTCTGCCGGAGTTCTGAGGACCATCAAGTCCAAGTGCCGCTCGCTCAGGCCCAGACTTGACACCACTGTACCCCTTGCTGGTCCTCGCTTGACCTAGTAAGGACTTGATTTGGCTCATCAATAGATGGTTCGCATAAATCAGGAGGGCGGTGGTCTTCAGAGGATGGTGGTGTTCACAGGGTGGTATCGAAACACTGGCGGCGATACCGAGTACACTCTCGATCCCCCCGTCCCCGGTAGCTGAGAGCACACCACTCGAGTTCTCATCAGGCGTGTTGCTATTGCTGAGGCCGCTCTTGAGACTCTAATGACGCTCCCCAGGGAGATGCTAAACCGACTCCGCATTAAGGCCTCCTCTCACGGCGGTGGCGAAGAAGGCTTCTACGACGTGATCAAGTCCGGCGTTCAGAAGACTGGACCTGCTGTTCTGTACATTGCAAAGAAGGCTGTGCACGCCGTCATTCTTGTCATTGTCGTTGAGCTCTCCGAGAGATTCAAGGGTGCAGTCGGCGCGGAGAGCAGCGCAACTCCTTACAATTTAGGCGATAACCACAACAAGATGGGCCGTTTCAACGCTGTTCCGCCTAAGCAAGCTATCGGCAAAACATCTGATCACGGCCATAAGGCGGTGGAGGTGAGCGAAAATTCTCCTCTTGACTTACAATGATGGAAGACCACAATACTACCACCTTCTAAATTGGGCCTCAACGGAGTCCATGTGCCTTAAATAGTTGGCAGTCATTGCCACGTACTGATGAGACAAGGACGTCTCTCCCATCTTGCCTCAACATGGACTTTCCAGACGATGATCCCACCAACGGCCATGGGTTAGGGTTATCGTTGGCTGTCCAATTCGACTTTGCGGTTTGGGTATGTCTAAAACCATGCAAGGTTAGGAATTTTGCCCACTTCGATGGCCTTTTCACTTTTTTGGGGGTTGACGTTGGATATTCGTCGTTGGGGTCTGTCGTTCGTTTTTGGATGCTGGGCTAAGAAGTCGGCTCGGCTGGTCGGCGGTTCCGACTTATGGTGCCAATAGCAGGCTACTCAATCTATCCTATCCTTTAATACATCTATTCGACCCCTTAAATCAATGGCCAGGATCTTGTGACGCTGCCCTTTGCGGCTGCGTGACTCGTTGACAGTCCAGGGCGGGGAAGATAAGCGATAGTGCGCTCTATCATTCGCACTTTAGATTTTCCGTCACTGTGGCCGGTGATTACGATGTTTATGCCGCCTTAACAAACAAGGAAGGCACAGTGCCGATTTGTGGGGTTGATTGAAGATGGAATAAGGTTTGACAAGGTTCATCGACATCTCGTCGGCGATGCCCGCACACCAGCTGGTGCCCGCACTCTTGCTTATCCCCAGGACAGAGCAATGGACAGAACAACGGTGACATCGCCAATACTTGGATCTCTTGGATGAAGCCCAATGACGATTTCATCAGTATGGTGTTGGCTGCCCGCGGGAAACACCCGTGCAGCGAACAGATGGCACTGGCCAAGCAACATCATCAGGCACGACGGTTGTCTTGGCTCTCGAGTCAAACATGCACATCTTAAGACGAACCGATAGAGTGGAACTGCCCCAGGATATAGAGTAACCAGGCGCCGACTCCGACGGTTCCGGACACGAGTGCGCCCTACGCAAATGCAACGCTGTGAATGGGGGAAATGCAGCCTCAGTCAACGGACCAAGCAGCCTTAATTCAGTTTTAAGATCACTGCATGGATCGTCAAAAGCCTATTGCCGGCAACTGAATCACTGCACCCCACTTCAAGCGGGCGACCGACTCAACTGCGATTCCGATTGGGGTGTTTAGACTTTATGTTTGCAGAGCTAAAAACGTTCCGCCCGCTGACAACGTGAAGGGCCCCCCGAGCTGGTAGGCTTTCTGCAGGTGAGTGCAACGGTAACTGTGTTAGTCGGTATGAAGGGAGGGGCGGAAGGTACTCGGGTTCGTTACCACGCCGGGGCGGGAAGAATGCCTGATGGCTCGTGTAAGACAGACTAGCTCTAGTACGGACATCAGACGGCCTGTTGCTGTGAGACTTGAGACAAAGGTTGTCCGACCTGAAATGAGGGGTTCGCGGACGTTGACGACGACAACAACTGCATTCCTGCCTTGATTCTCTCAGGATGGCGAAGAAACATCAAACATCGGCTGGGAAAGCAAGGTGGAAGATCTTGTGCCCTTTTGACCGTTCTTTTACTCTCATGACCACTCCCAAGCCTGACTGTAGATTGGGACACACGCAGTAGCTTCGGTCATCCCGTGCATCCCCATATCGTTCCTCTCCCATCTCATCTCCTTTGTACCTGCGTCTCGTTCCACTGCATCCACCAGCGAATCTTGCGGCTGCTTCTCGTCTGCGAACTGCACCCCGGAGGTGTAAGGCGGTCGTCCACACCCCCATTTCGTTTGACTACAAAACATATCTTATCCCAAGCTCTTCCTCCCACCTGTTTGTCTTCTGCCCGTCCGTCTTCTGCCCGTCATCCACAATGCGTCCGTTCGTTTCGCTCGTTTCTTTCCTTTCTTGCCTGACCCAAGTTTCTGCTTGGGCCCCGCGCGCCAGCGGACATGGTGCTCCAGGGCACTATGGAGGTATGCAAACGCATGACGCCAGCTTCACACCCGACCATATCTTGAGGGTCACTCAAAAGAACGTCTCAATTGGTTGCCAAACACGGGAGTCGGTTGTCGTTAATGGCACTCTCTACGGCCCAACACTAAGGCTCCCGCCCGGACAAAGGAGTTGGATTAGAGTATATAACGACATGGAACACCACAACACTACCATGCATTGGCACGGACTCAGCATGCGCATGGCGCCCTTTTCAGATGGCACTCCGTCTGCGAGTCAATGGCCCATCCCACCGGGTCGCTTCTTCGACTACGAGGTTTACCCTCTGAAGTCAGAGTCTGGTACTTACTTCTATCATTCGCATGTGGGCTTTCAGGCTATGACGGCCGCCGGGCCTTTGATCATCGAGGATAGTGCGGAGCCTCCTTACGCATATGACGATGAGCGAATCATTATGCTTTCTGACTATTACAACAAGACCGACACTCAGATTGAAAAGGGATTGACTGCGTCGCCTTTCGTATGGTCGGGCGAGACCAATGCGGTCCTCATCAATGGTGTTGGGGTTTCCGTCGACGAAACAGCTGGCCAAAACGGCTGCAAGCTGCCTATCATCAACGTTGAGCCTGGAAAGACTTACCGTCTGCGATTCATCGGTGCCACGGCCATCTCTATGGTGCAACTGGGCATTGTGGGCCACGATAACTTCACCATCATTTCTGCTGACGGCGCGTACACCAAGCCTCACTCCGAGAATATCATGCAACTGTCTTCGGGTCAGCGCTTTGATGTCATCTTCAAGGCGAAGACTGAGGAGGAGCTCAACGGAACGGGCGACTTCCTCATCCAGATGGAAACAAAGGACAGGCCAAAGGTCTACCAAGGCTATGGTGTCCTGCGATACTACAAGGCCACGACTCAGATTAACAAGGCGCCCGCGACTCCTCCTTTAACGTTCTCCACGAAGCCCTATGAATGGGCCGAGTACGCATTGGAGCCTCTGGTGCCCAACAATTTTCCAAAGGCAAGTGAGGTGACTCGCACGATCAACATCGACAGCCGGCAGTTGTCTACGCAATCAATCATCTGGCAGATCAACGGACTGGAGTGGAATGAGACCTCGTCACCGTTCCCTGGTGATAAGCCGTACCTGGTCAACATCTATGAACAAGGGGAAGCCGCGATGCCAAACTACACAGCTGCGATGAACAACAACGGTTGGGATCCAACAACATTGACTTGGCCTGCGAAGCTTGGCGAGGTAAGCAATTATTATTAGTTGGCGTCTGTGGCATACGCTTACCAATTTGCAGGTTCTTGAGATTGTTTGGCACAACACTGGTTCCCTCGTCAACAATGGTGGTGGCGTCGACTTCCACCCATTCCACGCCCATGGTGGACATTTCTGGGACATTGGAAGTGGCAACGGAACATACAACCAAACAGAAAATGAGGAGAAGCTGAAAAACTACAACCCGGTCAAGCGAGACACAACGAACCTTTACCGATACGGCGAAAAGACGACATCTGGCGCTAACGCTGGCTGGAGAGCGTGGCGTCTGCGCGTAGAAGATGCCGGTGTCTGGATGGTATGTTTCATTCTGCTCGGCTCATCGTGAGACATGGGACTAACGAACATTCTAGATCCACTGCCACATCCTGCAACACATGGTGATGGGCATGCAAACTGTCTGGGTCATGGGAGATTACAAAGACATTGCCGTCTTGCCCCTCTTGGATACGGCTGGGTATCTGCAGTTTGGCGGCAACTCGACGGGCAACTCAACAGACGCGCCGACAGTAATGCATTTCTTTGAGGCGGATGACTAAGCGTAATCATGAATTCATAGACATATTTTGATATCCATAGAGCTCACTACCATCATGGGGTTTGGAGAGCACACAGAGTACGACACCACAATCAATCGTGGACCCGCTACAGGGATCCAATTTCTTCAATTGTTGAATCATGTTCAAGCCGTTGTGCACGTTTCCTGGGCTGGAACTGTCACTGGTGTCCTTGACCCAAAAGACTGACTCGCGAGCGCAAACCACGAAAATCTCGATGTTGAACATAAAACGGTGTGAGCCGTGATGCTTGGCATTGGCCAAGCGACGGGAACTTTGTTTTATTTGTTTCCCTTTACTTCTGATCGACATCTGTCCGTGATGGGAATGTCTCATTTGGTGGTGCACTGTGCCTCTAGCGCGGCAGGCATCTTGCTGTTCTTCGCTGTCTCCGTGAGTAGGCAACTTCCCTGATAAGGGCACTAACTGAATATGTGTAGGCGATCCTTTATGGTGTCGGTCGCGCCGCTTACAACATCTACTTCCATCCGCTTCGGCATTATCCCGGTCCCCGACTGTGGGCAATAAGCCGCCTTCCCTGGAACCTCGTCAATCTCAAAGGAAGCTTAGCCTTCAGAATTCGAGAACTGCACGAGCAGTACGGCCCAGTGGTCAGAATTGCGCCAGATGAGCTATCATACACCAGCTCCGCCGCCTGGAAGAAGATCTACGGTCAACGAACCCCTGAGTTCCCAAAGTGCTTTGACGGCCGTGGAATCGCTGGTCCGAGTGTGACCAACCCAGCTGCTCGCAATGGCGGCATTGTCACCGCTGATCAGGAGCCACATGCCAGACTCCGGAAAGCCGTCTTACCAGCGTTTAGCGAGCGTGCATTGAGAGAACAAGAGGAAATTCTGCAACTGTACGCCAACAAACTTGTAGATCGGCTACGATCCTCCAGTAAGGCAGGTGCCCCACAGGATCTGGTCAAGTGGTTCAGCCTGGCTGCCTTTGATATTATCAGTGATTTGGCATTCGGCCAGGCCGCTGGCTGTCTAGACGATGCATCCCAGCCATGGCTCCAGGTTATCGGGACTAGAGCTCAGGGCATTGTCCGGTATCAATTTGCGATTCATTACGGCTTGGAAGGGTGGCTTGAGTGGCTCGCCCCGAAGGCACAGAAACTGGCTCTCAAGAAGCATGGCGAACTCACAGCTGGGAAGGTCAAGCGAAGGCTTCAGGCCACCGAGAACAAGAAGGATTTCATGAGCTACATTCTGGAAAATCCTCAAGCGGACCTGAGCAATGCCGACCTCGTCAGAATGGCATCGGCCTTTATTGTGGCTGGCAGCGGTACTGCTGCCACCGCGCTGTCCGGCATCACGTACTTCTTGTGTCGGAGTCCTGAGAAATACTCAAGATTGACACAGGAGATCCGCAACGCCTTTACGAG